GCTCCACAGCTGCTATAGGAAAGCTACAGAACATTTCCACTGACTAGAGCTCTACTTGGTTTCTTGCTTGCTGGTATCAAGCACCAGTGCTTGTACCTTGCTCATATGAAGGGCTAGACTGTGGCAACTTCTTTTCCAGCAGGTCTCTGGAGACAAAATGTCTTACAACTTCACAGAGGCGGAACCAGCTGACCGCACTACACTGGGAACAACTCTGAATATTCTCTGCAGCGACATCCCCATCTACTGGGCTCTGCCTGTGAGTGTTAGTTTCCTTTTCATTTTAGATTCATTTGGAGAGGGGCAAAAGCCTAAGTCAAAACTCTCCTATCTGAGTCAATCAATGTGGCTTCCCTCCTTCCCCGACTTGCTATGCATGCAGCTTCCAGGGCATTTCAGTGGAGTCAGAAGAGGAGATAATTCCATCTCTGAAGCCAAAGTGGAAGAACGTATCAATGATAAACCATCCAATCACACCCTAACCTGCCACTGCTAAGCAGAATGTCATGATTTGGGGGTTCAGCACACTCACTGCCTGGACATTCACTCTGCAAAATCATCACGTCATAACCTACCTGATTCAAACCTGTCTCAGGAGAGAAGGTGCTCCCTTGTTCAACTAGCACTCTCTTTCCACCCACACCCCACGGGTAGGCGCACAAAGCATGGGCTCCTCTGAGCTGGTGTCACAAGGTGATGATGTTTGTGTCATAAGGTTAACATGCTCCTGTAGCAACACAGTTGATGGGAAGTGCGGCATCACCACACCATGTGGCTAGAACCAGAATCCAACCCTACTCCAAAGAGTCAAAAGCTTAGTTCTGTACTGCCCATAACACTTTGGCTTTGAAGAGGTGGGTGTAAGTGAGCTGAATATGCCTAAAGCAAAGCCTCATGTGGCCTGACATTTTGGGAGAGTCGCATCATTTATCCAGAGCAGAAAGGGTTCAGTGAGGAGCCTGGATAGCCCAGGATGCTGATAAGAAGCTGATCTAGGGTGGATGGCCTGCTCAATCATAATTCTGATAGGGGTTCCATCTTGTAAGGCTCACAGGGTATGAAAATCATCCTAAATTGCCAAGGGAGCTGATGCAAAGTCATAGTACAAGACTGGGAGGTATGAAGACAGCAGTTAAGATAAGCAAAGACTGAAGTCTCATTCTCAGTAGGCAGGATGAATAGGCCTTAAATGGAGGTGAATTAGACATTTGGAGAGTGAATGATTTGCATCTGGTGGGTTAGAGTTGCTCCATCCCATTATTTTTGTGACCTGTTCTTGCAAGTTATTAAAAGCATCCCACATTTTCCTTGGGGCCAATATGTTTCTTTGCCCTGCCCTGGCTATGTAATAGCATACCACACTCAATCACGCCAATGATCTGATCACTATCCAGGAGGTCAAGGTTTAAAAGATCTAGGTTGTGATTCAGACATTGGATTTCAGTTTGCATCCAAACTACTTAACCTCCCTGCTTCTGGATCAGCGTATGAGGAATGGGTTTGGTATTCATCCAATGGATCACATGTAACACTTCTTGTCACTATCTTACCTTGAAAGCACAATCTTGAAAATAAGTTTTGTGACTCACCCCGCAAATTTGTTTTTTGAAAGGTAGTCAGCTTTAATGTTGTTTACAGTAATTCAGCCATGCTCCATCACTTTATATGAATAACCAGGTACAGCAAAATGGAAACAGTCGGTAGGAGGAGTTCTTTGAGTTTCTGAGTTTTTCCTTTGTTTCGCCCCCAGCGCAAGATCCAAGGAAACCGCAGCAGTTCTGCTCCTCTTGGCTCCCCATGGTGTTTCTTTAGCTCTTTGTGCTTGTGCTTTTGATCTGAAATCTCAAGTTACTGTGTGAATTATGCCTACTCGTCAGCACAGACCGCAGAGTCTTGGATGAGGCAAGCATCAGAATAAAAACAATTTTACAACTTTTTGTACTGGGGTAATATATCAGATCCCCCATGTGTTTCAGAAAACCCTTCACAGCTGGACAATGCCATCCTGCAATATGTAGATCAGATACTGCTTCCAAAGCTTTGACACAAACATTTTGGAGACTGTAGGAAATAAGATTACTGCAAAATAGGGAAAAACAAATCCAGTATGGGAGGGAATAAGCAGGAAATTAACACTCTCTAGAGAGGAATGCCCCTCAGCCCTGAAGGCTTCATCACCAGTTTCTATAAAAGATGCTCTGACATCTGACATCAAACCATACAAGAAAAATTCACCAAAGTTTTTGAGAGATTAAACAAAGCAAAAAAACTACCTCTGTCCCCAAGAAACATAGCGAAGCTCATTAAGGCTCAGAATCATAACTATCCCCAGAGCAGGAAGACTTTCAGTTTTCTGCAGACCAATATCCAACATTAACAATCTGAAGACAGCACTATTTGTCTAATACAGGAGAAACTATCTCCACTATTGCAAACTCCCACCCATTATAGATTTTGGCACCTGAAGGACAAGCTCTCACTATGAGAGAAGCTCCTTCATTCCTATGATTTTCAGGGCTGCCCTGAGGCAGCAGCAGCTCTTCTCTAACTGCCCTCCCTTCCCCGCCTCCAGCTAACCCCAGCCATTATCGTCTGCCCATGATCTGCCACTGCTCTACCCAGGGTTGTAGGAGGTGGGGGAAGAGCTATTGGATTTCTGGCAGAGATGTGGGACACAGGGGGGAGTCAGGGAAGTGCTGCTTCTTGGAAAATTCCACTGTTTTTACTGTAACATTATTAATCACATGAATGATTAAGTTATGTATAGAAAGTCATGATAGTGTCATTTTGAACATTACAAATAGTTTCAACACTTAATATTTTGAAGTGTTAATGGCTAACCCTGGTTAAAATCCTATTGTAAAAGGAGCAAGTCAGTTTTAACACGTTAATTGTTTCAGAACTATTTTCCTAATGTAGATGTGGCTAATGTTTCAATACCTGCCACTCTCTTTTGTTGACCAAAAAGGAATCATTAAATGCCACTTCCTCATATGAAACAGAAACATTGCTTGAGACAGATTGCTATGTCATGGATTCACATGTGTGGGTTATGCTCTGGCCTTTAAACTGGCTGCCAGGGTTAACCCTGTAGTGTGCCAAACCTCCAAGGGTCACCCTTTTCCATAAGGATAAGCCATGTGGCTTCAACATCTCCAAGACAAGGTCTTCAGGCTCCAGCACTCCTTGTTTCTCGCTATGCAAGTACTGTACAGCGAGTCTGACTGAGGTAGGCTCCTGTTCAGAGACTTTTTACTCCCTTTAGGGGTCAATGCAAATCAATATTTGCAGTGATTCAAAGCAGACTTTTTCAAAACAGGGTAGGTTCACATACTATTAGGAAGATTACTGATTCACAAACCTAAAGTCATCTCTCAGACGGAATGAGGGGAAGAAGCAAGCATCCTGAATATCTTAAAATAAGTTTCTCAAGTTCCTAATTTATACTGTTTTTAAATATTTAAGGAACCTAAAAAATTGTTATAGGCTCCTCAAAGGGGAAATGGTATTATCCAAATCACAGTGTACTAGGGTGACCAGACAGCAAGTGTGAAAAATCAGGACAGGGGTGGGGGGTAATAGGTGCCTATAGAAGAAAATGCCCCAAATATCAGGACTGTCCCTATAAAATAGGGACATCTGGTCACCCTACAGTGTACCAAAACTTAAAAAATAAAAAGCTTTTCATTTTACTGAGAAAAATCAGACTAGAAGACTAAGGAAGACATTTTAGTTCTAGTATTATAAGTAATACTACATTTTTACATATTCAACAAATGTCATATCATTTGTTTAAAATGATTCCATTGTTCATGTTGCTGGTTGCAAGGACAAGGTTGCATATAGTTACTTAGTGTAAGCGCTTGGCCCACATACTGAAGTAGGAGATATTTAAACAGACAAAGTATAATCACTTTGTAAGGACTGAAATGTTTAATTTTATTTAAGAACTACATATCCTTAATTAACACACCCATCTAAAACAAAGGGTAGCATGAGGAATGTTGCTAGAACTCCTTTACTTCAGTACTGTAGAAGACAATGCCATTACCACTTAGGGTGACCGGACAGCAAATGTGAAAAATCAGGACAGGGGGTGGGGGGTAATAGGAGCCTATATAAGAAAAAAGACTCCAAAATCGGGACATCTGGTCACCCTATTACTACTGCTAGCACAGTAGGTCCTGCAATTACCACAGCCTAAGCAAATGCTGTTTGCAAGATATTGTTTATATTACTTTTTCACCCATTTAATCAGTCACCGACTTCAGAATGCAATGGCCACACACGGTGCTTTCCAAGTACTCTTACTGCCACACTCCTGCATTTTGCATGGTTTTTGTAGCAACCCTTCTGGTCTCAAAGCTTGCATAGGATTTATATTCAACCCCCTATAAGTACTTTAGTGAGAGGCCTGCACTGAGTTTCCCTGGTTTCTCGTCCCTCCACAGCCTGGCCAGAAGGGCGCTGGGGAGCCTTGCCCAGGTTTCTGCGAGAACTAGGCCCGAATTATTTGTTTTCACACCTAACACGGCAGGCAGCAACTCCCCATGGCGAGGATGACTGGGCCCCCCCCAGTCAGCCCTGGGCCCGAGGGCAGCCCTAGAGGGACCCCAGCCAGCCAAGGGCCCAAGGCCTGAAGCAGCAGCACCCAGGCGCCTCCTGAGCCCCAAGAAACAGACAGAGACATCAACCCCCAGCTCACCCTCACCCAGCTTCCTATCACACGAAGGTAACTGACTAACACCACTCAGGCCCGCCACGGCTCCCTTTATATAGCCCATGAAACATCGCGATAAGACAGAGGGCGCGAGGCGAGCTGATTAGTGCCGAGCCGGAGTTCTCGCGGTATTTCCCCATACCTACCTAAGCGGGTATGGCCTTGAGGGAGGAGCCGACGCACGCTGCCCCGCCCAGGCAGTCCTACAGCTCTGCAACCCGCCCCCTTGCCGCTAATAGACCAATGGGAAGCGCGGGGAGGAACCGAAGGGAAACACCCCTTGAGGCTCCCTGTTCGGCTTGTCCCCTGCCCTTCTCACCCTTCCCCGTTGGCACGAGAGCGAGGCGGGACCTGGGCGTGCGCCTGCATAGAACGGAGAGCCGAGGGCGGGACGAGCACTGCGCCTGCGCACGGGAAGGAGTCGCGTCTGCAGGACATCTCCGCAGTAACGAACGCGAGGAGAGTATAACGCGCTTGCGCGGAGGAAGGGGGTGTTCTGGGCAATACAATGCGCCTGCGTGGGCCGGCCGCGGCTGGTCGGTGGCGGTGGAGCCGGTGGGAGCTCCCCGTGGGCCGGTAACAGCGGACGGGGCGCCACAGCCAGGTGAGTTCGCGGCGGAGCCCGGCCGGCTCGGGTAGTAGGTCCCCTCCTGCGCCGCTGTCCTGCGGCCGGCTCGGCTCCTCCAGCCCTCTGAGGGGAGCGTGCCCGGGATAGTCCCCGTCTGAGGCGGGGCGGCGGGTGGCACCCGGGCCGGCGGTGCTGTCTGGCCAGTGCTCACCCAGCTCTGAAATGCAGCCCCCTCTGGGGCGGGGCGGCGGGTGGCACCCGGGCCGGCGGTGCTGTCTGGCCAGTGCTCACCCAGCACTGCGATGCAGCCCCCTCTGGGGCGATGGCTGGCAGTGCTCTACGGCAATTGCTCACCTACCATTAAAATGCAGCCCCCATCCTAGCTGACACTTACCTGCCAGCAAAACTTTGTTGTGTTGACCAGACCTCCCCGAAAGACCTTTGCTTCACTAGGAAGAAGGTGGTGTTTTTTGTTTTTGTTTTTTTGAACATGTTGGCTAATCGTTAAAATCCTACTGTAAATTGGCTGACCAAGAAAGGACCAATAAATGCTATTTCTAGTGTATGAGGAGTGGAAACATTGCTTGAGACAGTTTGCTGTGTCACAGATTGACAGGGTGTGGGCTATCTCCTGGCCTTTAAACAGCGTGCTGGGAGTTACCCATTAGTGTTCCAGACCCTAAAAGGTCACACTTTTCCTCAGGGATAGGCCATGTGGCTTTAATGCCTCGGAGACTGGGTTTTCGGGCTCCAACACTCTTGTTTGTCACCATGAGCGCTAGCGCTGCAGAGTGAATCTGACTGAGAGAAACTCCTGTTCAGAGACTTTTCACCCGTTTCAGGTATCAATGCACATCAGTATTTGCAGTGATATCAAGCAGCCTTTTCCAAACCAGAGTAGGTTTTGAATCAGTTGCAATGCAGCATCTAGGAGCACTTAACTTTTGCTTCTGTATGCTAACCTAAGGCAGAGTTTGCACTGGCAAAAGCTGGGGCTCCGCCAAGCCATCCTTCTGTAGAATTCATCTCTGCTCTCTCTGTCCCTTTGTCTCTGAGTCCCATGAGACTGCTCTGTGTGTGTGAACCCTGAATGAGAGCTGCTGTGTGTGTCTGTGAACACTTCTTATTGCAGGTTCCTGACATCTCCAGTCCATTGTCCTGCTGCTGCCAAATCACACGGAGTTCACATGTTCAGCCTGTCTGGGTCTTCTATTGTTAAGTGTTAATGTTCAGTCATTGGGGTTCCCATGGTTTTTTCTGGGTCTTCTGTCAGTATGTTGATTCCAGACAGCTCTTGATGATGCCTTCATCTCATCCCAATCAGCTGTGGGACCCAAACACCTCATGTCACTCCTCTGTTCCAGGAGAAGTGTTTTCACTCCCCTGCATCCAGTAGGTAACAATACCAAATCAAATTGCTCAACTGAGACTCCTATTGTTCATCAAAATATTATAGAAAGCTCCCACTTTCATCACTCTACTGTTCCCAGCCCCTTGTTTGCCCTGATGCAGAATCCAGCTGACATCTTGAACTTGGATCCCAGCCCAGTTCTCTACCACTAGACCATGGGCTTACCCCTTTTTGACTCCCTTGCACATTGAGGTATTTCTATTACTTATTCAGAGGATACCCCCCAATGTCCCTCCCATTCTCCATGACCAAAATAATATTCTGGTCTTGAGGTAAGATAATAGCCAATTGCTTAGTGATAGACCTTCTTTTGGTAAGAGGTATTGCTCTGTAAGCCCCTTATTGTCTTCTCTCCAGAAAGTGGAGATCTTCCATACCCACTCCTCCTAAGGGAATGAACAAAGGAAACTTGATGGATTAGTGTAATACAGGTTAAGTTTCAGTTGTCAGGTTTTCAGTGTTCTTAGAAAATTTGAAATCTGACTGTTCTGGTTTAACCTGAATCTAATGATTTTTTCATCTCATGGGATTTGGTAGTCTTTGGAACCACTCCTCATCCTTTGATCTCACACATAAAGAACTCACTTTAAAATGTTGGCAGTGCCTGGTTGTTATGCCACTAGCTTCCTTGTTCTGTTTCTGTAGGCCCTGCAGCCCTTGTTCTCTACTGTACCTTCTGATGCAATCTTGCTTCCGTCTTACCCCTTTGTTAAAAATACTCATTCTATAAACTCAAAATCGTCTTTTTGGGTTGCATACTCCTAGTTTTAGAGGGATTTCCCAGCAAACCCTTTAAAGCTGATTGGTGTCAACTTTTTTTACTGTGTGTGCAGTCCCAGCCCCGAAAGCCTCCATGCCTCCAAGGATTTCTGATTTCTCTTTCTCTGTATCTTCTTTCCCCCCACCTGTCTCACTTTTTTTGATTGTCAGGTGTTTCCCTAAATGAATGAGGCTGTCCCTTCCCTTAAGGACTGAGCTTGTTGCTTTTATAGTGCCTGCCCTTGGCCAACCTTAACTCTTGAAACGTTCACCTCCCAGGTAGCACAACATAGGATGGTCAGCCAGAGAGGAGTACTTGAAAAGAGTTGTTTTGCCACTGAAATTTCTGAGCTTTTATTAAAGTGACATTAGTGTCGCGGTCCCGCAGCACTTAAGATCATAAACCAAGTTCCATTCTTAGTATATTTAAGTCATTTTAATTTATTGTTCAATATGTGACTAAAATGTGTAACTTTCAGACAAAGTTCTTGGGTTGACTCAAGATTAAACCACACAATCTGGTTCAGCTTTGCAATGGGCAAACTATCTAAACAAATTCCTTACTATTTATTTCGTTTAGCACTTCCCCATGACAGCTCACTCCTCTTCAGGAACTAGAGCCTTAGCAAGCTGGCAAAATCTTCAAAGATCAAGCTACTTTGGGACCTCCCTAGTGAAGTTAACAGGCTTCCCATATGAACTCTGTCCTACATTATTATAAACAAGTTTAATCAAATAAGTAAATTAATCTCCTGTTTTCAGATCAAGAGTGATGGTTTATCTAGCGTGTAATCAGTTATAATTCAGGAGAAGCAGCCTCTCATTGTTGGGAACATATTGGGAGAAGCAAAGAGTATAGATGGAAACTCAAGTACAGACTTAGTTGCTGAGGTTACAGATAAATAGGTAACCAGACAGGAGCATATAGAGGGATGGGAGCATGAAAAAAGCAATACTATTGACTTCTGATGTGTGTAGCAGGATGACAATGCCAAATTAGTGTCCTGTAACTGCCTCCCTGCAAGTCTTGTCCAACTAGCTGCACCAGGACTATTGCCTACAGTATTGTCTCAAAATTTAGGTAGGATGTAGGTAATCTAAAGAAAAGCAAAAATAACTTGAGAATTAGAGGATGGGTCACTTGAAGAGAGACCGTGGAAGCTGAATTTATATAGTCAAAGAGATGACTTTGGAGGGGGACATAATCCCAGGAATGACCTTGGAAGATAACCATGTGTTGTAGGAAGACCGTGCTTAATTCTCAGAAATTGGTAGGAGGAATGATCTGAAGTTAAGGGAGGAAAGTTTGGGCTAGATATTAGGAAAGAATTCTGAGCTCCAAGAGGGATGGTTTAGAACACTATCACTGCTGAGATTCAAGAACTGGTTAGACCAAAAGATACTGAGGTGATTTGTGTGGCTACCAAGGTGGATAAAAATCAATGATTTAAAAAAAAAATACAAATACTGGATTTTTTTTTTAGATTTAAATAGGTTTTCTCTCCAAAATCCGATCTAAAGATAGCTTTGAGCTATAATGTATCTTAATTAAAACTATCTCCTCATGGAATAGAGATTATAAATTCTAATTCTATAGTGTAAGACAATATATTCATGTAATGTTTAAGAAAAGTTTTGTAAATGAGTTCCAATAGTTCATGGATTAGGGACCCAATCTTATGGGTTTCCACAAGCTTCTGTATAGATTTAGGTTAATCTTTCTATCTACCCAATGGGGCTCAGTGTAGAAGATACCATCAGAGATGCTTAGTTTTGCAATTCTCAAACACAAATCTCCAGATTTATTAACAGCAAAAATGTTTTAAAATAAATATTTAGAGGTGAGAAACAACAGACCTCAACTCTATTGTCCCTCTGTAAATGTGTGTACAGTTAATCCCTTACCCCTCTCTAAAAGTGCAAAGTTTCAAAAAGTTCAATGGATAGAAGATTGCTGGGGGCAGAATAGATGTGGACAAGGAGAAGTAGTCTGGAGATAAATGTGAGCAGCGAGGGACATATGCTTTTTTTGTTAAAATATGTCAAAGAAAAAAATCCAGAATACTTAACATTGTTGTTTTAGTTAAATAAAACAATTTAAATGTCTGTCTGGTGATGTTCTCCTCCTAATACGGCATGGCAAGAAAGTCCTCCAAATATTAATGATAGTACACTTCCCAATGACTTTATAAATATCTGCTTCAATTACCTTTGGTAAATGAAATAACCAGACAATCATTCATTTTCTGATATAGCTGCAAAACTAATCTGCAAAGTTTTCAAAATAAATCCCTGTTTAAAAATGTATAGTGTGTCCCTTCTAAAAATGAAACCTACATCTATCTCTGACTTGTGAAGAATATGTATTAAGGTTATAACAACCAACAAGAATGCACTTTTATGTAGAAAACCATGATTAAATAGTCTTCCTGACTAGTGATTTAAATAAATTTGATTAAAATCAAATCCACCCTGGTGGCTATTTTTTGCAAAATGCGGGGAGCAGACAGTATTACACAACATTGCCAGAAAAGCGCAGTTATCTTTGATTCTGTGTCCTCCTATTGCAAGATTCTCAAATAAACACCCTAGAATTGCTTCCCTAAGGGGAAAATTAAACTTATTCGTTAGGTAACCAAGAGTTTAGCAAACATATCAACTCATGTTTTAGGGGTGTGTGACATTCTTCAGTGAACTGATTAGAGTTAAAAGATGAGGTGCTTAACATCTACAGGATTAGACAATCATAATGTCGATCTTCTTCATACAGAGCTCTTGTTTGTTGTGTGCAATTGTCTCCTGACACACAGATCTTTGCTTTGAGAAAAGAAGTATCATAGGTCAAGGGTTCTTTAAGGTACATCTCATTACATGCTCCTGTATCTAAGAAACATCTGACCATTGATCTCCTCTCTGTCATAACATAGGAATAATGAGAGCATGTTGGGTAGAACTGGCAAGAAACTCTCACTTGTTTGGAGCGTTCCTAACTTTTCTTTGGATCTGCAGTGACACAATCTAATCAAAGGGACGGTGAGAGGACAGCAGAACAAAACATAAAGGTAAGATAACAGGTGTTATAAACATTTTATTCTAAATTAAAAGTGTGCTGTATGTTTTTGTCAGTGAAGGGATGATCTGTTGTATTTGATAGTATTCATTGCATGGGCAGTCTGGTAATGTTGCAGTTCATTGTTTGCAGAAATTCAAAATGAGGTAGAAAAAGACACAGCTCTTAGGTGACATTATATCCTAAATCGTGCTGGTTCAGTATCTGTTCTGATGTCTGAAGATAAGCCCATATCATAGGGAACTCCTAAATTGAATTACTTTCTCTTGTTAAAGACAACATACTTGTATGGCTAAGTCCTAAAACTCCTGGGGACATGCTACTCCAAACTCCCATGAAGTCAGTGAGAAGTTGGAGCATGCAAAGAATGCAGGATGAGGCCCTAGATCATAGGTAACCAATTATTTTTTGTCAAGGAGCAGACTCCAGAGAAAATCCTACAAAAATAATAAGTAAATAGAAAGATTTTGCAGTGCGTTCAGAAGCATCTGTTGGTCCAGATTTGGCCTGCGGTCCTCCTATTGACTACCCCTGCCCTAAATGAATCTCTGTGCTGGTGGCAAGTCCAGGCTTGACCTCGCTGTAGGCTGAAGTCACGCAACAGCACTGGCAGAAGCAGTACAGGCTTCCCCTTGCAGTGCTAACTACTACTGCGCCTTGAGCCTGCACTAGAGGGCCTACCTTTGTGGTGAGAAGGGGAGAGTTCAGTCCTTGTTTTCTCAGTTGAGACTGCCTGTAAGGGAGTCAGTTGTGATGGTGATTTTTGTGTGTATATGTGCTGTGCAAACCTGGAAACTGAAGCTATCAATTCCTTCAGTTCTAAAATAAAAACTCAGAAAAAATTATAGTATAGTATGGCTTTGTATATGTATCTTAATTTAATAAAAATCCATGTACAAACTCTATTACAATTGTAATTTAAAACCATTTACTCCAGTCGCTGTTCTTAGACTTTCTGATCAAATTAGTAAAAATGATGCATTTTTTTGTTCCTTACTGTGCTCGTGGATGGATCTCTGTTCTCCTTTCTTTCTGTATGCTCTTGTGTATAGATCTTTCACACAAGACATAACCCCTAGCCCTCCCCTCAAGTAGCTAGATTTCATGGAGGAGGTCTGATTTCACAGTCTGACGCGTTTTTCATGGCTGTGAATTTGTGTGCGTGTGTATTACATCTGCATAGACTAAGTGTCTAACCATTCAGTAGCTGAGGGAAGAGCACTGTGTAAGAGGGAATCAGGCAGCACTTACCCATGGGTATGGCCTGCATCTTCTGACTGGCCACAGCTGCAAAGGGGAGAGTCAGAGGCCTCACTTAGTCACTAGCAGCACACGTTAATCACGGCATATGTGAATCAATCGAGCTTTACTTAAAGATGTTGGGGAAAGGTAAAAACCCGGGAGCTGGACTGTTGGATCTGTCAGAGATAGGCATTGGTAAGGTTAAGATTTTGTCATGGTTGTTTTTAGTAAGTCATGGATGGGTCATGGGCAGTAAACAAAAATTCAGAGGGTGTGTTCTGTCTATGACTCTTACTAAAAATAACAGGGGGAAAGGGGGAAGCTGACAGCCCATGCCCTGCTGCCCGGGGGGTGGGAGCAGCTGACAGCTCCAGCCACCCAGGTCTGAAGTCGTGGAGGTCACACAAAATCACGGAATCCATGACCAACTCATAGGTTTAGGCTTTGGCTATGGAAGCTTGTTCTTGCCACCTATTCTGCCTCCTGAAGATGATGTCAGGGTTCCTTAGGGGATTTGTCCAAAAGGGATTGCCTTGAGCTAAAATGGTGTCTGTGGATTAAACATATCTTTAAAGGGGTAGGTGTGGCACGTCTTGCACTGTAAGGAGCAGATTCTGCAAGGCAACTTGTCACCTGTGTCAGAAGGGGCAATGTTAGACAGAACCGACAGCCAGGCCAGATTTGTCAGGTTCACAGTACCTGTTATACGCATTGTTTTGTTCAGCTGAGTGTCTACTAGTCCTGTGTGAAAAGAGCTGAGCCATACTGGGGAGCGATAATCTGCTACAGAATAGTACAAGACAAGCCCATATTTCTCCAGTTTGGTCTGCCTACCAACTTAAGTCGGTATAACTACGTCACTCAGGGGTGTGAAAAATCCACACCCCTGAGCGACATAGTTACACTGACCTAACCCCAGCGTAGACAGCACTATGTCAACAGGAGGGCTTCTCCCATCAACATAGCTGCCGCCTATCGGGGAAGTGGAGTCCCTACATCAATGGGAGAAGCTCCTGGTGGCATAGGTAGTGTCTTCACTAAGCACTGCCATGGTGCAGCCGCAGCACTGTAAGGGTAGACAAACCCTCAGTGTCTGCACATTGGCTCTCTAGGTGATCCAGCTGTTTTGCTGATCAGGTTGTTTGTCTTATTTTTAGCAAGGCTTTGATAAGATGTTCCTTGATTTTCAAGGAACGGTCCAATAGAACACCTAGATACAGACTTTGGGTTGTAGTCTTCCTATGTCCATTCAGGAAGATGCGGCGTACTATGCAATATATTGTGATATTTATATGGTCTATGATAGAAGCTATCTATGTACTTGTATTGAAGATGGTACTTATATTGATTGATCATGCTTTTCACCACTGAAATATGCTTTAACTTCCTCAGTTGGGGGATCCATTGGTATGTGACCTGTTATTTCTGTTAGCAGTTGTGCTTTTGCTACAGACTTCCTGTGTGACCTTGAGCAAGCCACATAATTTTTCTGTGCCTCGGTGTCCTCATGAGTAGAATGGGTCTAATCTGTAGAATAGCTGTGAGACTGCCTGTATGTTTGTGTTGAAGCATTTCGTTTTGCTGTAGTTGTACCCTCATTCTTCTAATTTGAATGCTTTTGCACAGCTGTCTGACCCATACTTGGTCTCACTGATTGCATCTTGTCTAAGTGTTATGGATTTATTGTTTGTGTAGGTTTTATACAGTTTTAGATGACATTTGTGTGTAGATTTAAGGATGATCCATTTTAAAAATCACTTTGGTTGCACATAGTGGTTGTTCAATTATCTCTTGACTCTGCACACTCATTTCAAATCAAAGGGTAAGTCACTTCACATTCTCTTAAAAACCTTTTCTAACCTGCATTCAGCATTGTACAGAGCTGTCAAAATAAAGAGCTCAGATTTTCACTCCAGGAATAAGATCAACAGGAACTAGTTATCACAAGATAAATATGAACTGACTTTCTCCATTGGGGGGGGGGGGGAAATTGACTTATTCATACCATCTGAAAAATGCTTTTTTCTTCCCTCCCTCCATAGAAGAGGGATAGTCTTATGATGGGAGAATAGGATTCTGGAGCCAAGAAATCTTAAGAGCTTGATGCTCACACAGTCGCCAAAGTTACTGTAGCATAACTGGGATGTTTCAGGAAGAATGAACAATTGTTTTTTATCTGCATGTTGCTATTCTCTATTTTCTCTTCACTTTGGTTCTTCATTGGGCTGCCATTCACAGCAATACCAGCTAGTGTAAGACTCCCCTCTGCAGCCTTCTCCACAATGCAGTTGTCAGGCGCTGTATAATGCCAATGCCTAATAACCTAGCCCAAAAGATGCTCATTTTCTCTCAGCTCTATTCCCCCCTGGAGAGCAGCCATTTTGCCCTGGCACATGACCTTGCATTTCTTGATTCTGGAATTAAAACCTTGATCTTAAGAACAGTAATCCCTGCCAGTAATAGCCTGACTGCTGCTAATGCTTTAAATATAAGCACTCTTTCCTGAGGTCTGACTAGGAATAATTTCTCTTGTTTTCGATAAGGGGAGGTTCAGTGTGATGGAAAGGTCTAGTTCCTGACAATAACTTAGAGACATTGTCCAGTTAAGTTAAAATCCAAATTTAATTATTCATACCATAAATTCACTTCTTGTTTACACTTTCCAGGCCCAGTGAAACACAAAACTACTTAGTTTAACTTTTGTTTATAGTCCGTTTCATGTTGACTCCTAT